AATTAAGTGTTAACGAGCAGTTGGACAGGTGTACCTAATAAAGTGGCCGGTGAGTGTATATCGCCTTGTGTACAGTATCGCAATACACATTGTGACCCCTGTGTCGTGATATGTATCATATCACCAAATTCTTGTCAATACACAGTCCTAACAGACAGCATTCATTTGTTGTACATCTACAGCTGATTAATAAATGATGTCAAACTGATTGAAGATGGCTGCCACATTCAAGTGACCTGAGCAAACACAAAAACGACTATAATTCAGTTAGTTCTAAATATTCTGCTAAAACTAGGGGTAGTAGCTGAGAGTCATTCACAAGCCATTCTCTAAGTGCTGATTATTGCACAAGATCTTTGCTTAAAACTTGTGCATTAACCGGTGGAGTTAACCGTTTTTGATTTGTTTACAAAATATCATAAACCACAGAATGAGTTTTAATCAGACTTTCCGAAAGTAATCATTGGATATTCACCGTCCAACATCGAATGTGGTTGCATGTATTGTTTTCATTGTTTAACCAAAACTCTGTCATTTCTTGGTTTAAGATGATTTTCGTCTCTGGCAAACTCTGGCGTTAGGGTGGTGTGTGATACTATAACACATTACTATATTAAGACTCGCTGAGAGAAGGTCACATTTCTGATCTCATAATTTGACGGTAATATATTCCAAATGGTTTTTGTCAAGGTTCCGTTATTTTCAGAGGACTTTCAGTCTTTGACACAAAGTCCATGATTTGCGTATTGCAAACATTTGTCCAAGATGCTCCTTACCAAAACATAGGGAATTTGCTGTTTTCAAATGACGTCTCTTAGAAAAAAAAGTGAACTCAATTCTTCTTCAATGTGTTATGTTTCCTGATTTCTCATTTAGCTAAAGAAGCGTGGCTTTTATGCTCCTCAAAGCTCTCCATAAGTCAAGGTACACCAGTCAGACTTTGTCCTCTGGTTGTTGCTTATGAACAAACTTGTTCTCATAGTCTGTATTTCCATTTAGACTTGTGTACTATTCACTCACCGTAAAACTCTTAAAACATTCCCCGTGTGTAAAACCTCTGGATGCCCTTAGTATATAAACAGTATATATAAAGTTGACTAACTCTAATGGATGTGGGTTTGTTTGAGCGCTGCTGTGACTCCAGAGCAGGGTGGGTGTTTTTTGGGACAGACCCCAGGCTAGGGACGTCCTTTCCCTGAGTCACCGCTGTTTAAAGTTTAAAAGCCCAGCTGTGTAAATGACTTACAGCATACGTTCAGAATTCACACTGCTGCGTGCAACACAGGTCACCCAAGGCTCCGGGTGTGTGCCGGATGGACACGCCACAACGCTGTGAGTTAACACGACACACACACGCCTCTGAAGGTGGCCCGAGCATTCAGAACACACTGTCTGTCTGTAACAGTTATTTACTGTGGTGCCTTTAATCTCTGGCAGCATTAGCCTTCAGCCACTATCTATTAAAGCATTTCCTCCCTAACAATCCACAGCTTCCATTGCTTTTGGCCACAACACGGGCCTGTGAAGTTGGGTTTATACTAAACTCATGCACTAATAAAACCCATCCGGAAAAGGGCTGTTTGGACCTTCTCTACCACCGGGAAGAGCTGTGACTTGGAGGTCTGCTATGTTGCATCCTGGATGACGGAAAGAGCTGTAGGATCGTCACCTGTGTGTGTGTTTGTGTGTGTGTGGGAGAGTGTGTGTGTGTGTGGGGGGGGGGGTTGGAAAGGGCCTGAAGATTTACTATAAGATGTTATCGTGATGCGTTAGTCAGAGCTTCCTTGTTTTCCCTGTTCTCATGCAATCCTGCATGGATTGTAAAAGCGGTGATCGTACGTCACAGAGACAGCTCATCTATAAATCAGAGCCCCAACCGAAAAACTACATAAATTACAGTTTTTATCTTATTGGTCAACTGATGTTAAGAACACAGCCATGT